ATTAGCTACAGTAGGCATTGTTGTTCACGAAAATCATTTTGTAAGGTGTAAAAAAGTTAATGGTTGGAATCAGATTTATATTTATATCTCTTATTAATTATTTGGTTTTTAGTGAAGCTTTAGCTCTCTAGTGGAAAACCGTAACAGAAACAAATTAATTAATTAAACTGAATCGTACAAATAAACTACATATTTGTATTTGTAAGTGGGAACGTTGCTTACTCAACCCTCACGCACGGAGAAAATGAAAAAGGATCCCACTAGCGCGTTGATTCGTAAGCGAAATTAATAAAAATTACAATTTGGATCCGAATTTGTAAAAATAAAATCCCAGTAGAAATAAATTTACTAGGTATTTTAGTTGACATTACAAAATTACTTGTAATAATTAAGAAACTTTTAAATTTTAAAAAAACATGTCAAAATTGAGATTATTACAAGTTACCTAATAAATTCTATTACATCAGTCATTTCCAATCAAAAATTGTAATTTTTGCGTTGTCATAAAAATTCTTCTCCGTGTGTTTGTTGCTGTTTTACATTTTTATCTCGGGTATCTATAAAATGTCGTTCACATACCTTAATAGTGTTCACAAATAATTTAGTAAGGGGGATGTTGTACTTAGCTTAGGATAGGAAAGAGTGGAGGTGTGTGTCCAACCAGCCTTAGGACTGACAATCTTATGATGATGATGATGATGATATATAACCTTTCAGAAACCTAAAAAGAATTCCGTTCTTTTACCTTAACAATATCTTTTGAAAACAAGCGGATGAAACATTGCGCTACTGTAATTATGGCTTTATGATGGTTGCGGATGCCCGAGGTAATGAACATAACGTATTCGAATCAATATATAAAAACTTTGTCCGTATTTGTTAGCATAAGTACCTATAGTTGGTATATCCGTTTTGATACTAATGAGACTTGTGTTAATGACATTACGTATTCGCACACGTATATAATATTGAAGGAACTTCTGGTTTTATATTATTGTTGGACCGTTACAGCCTAAAGCTACTACATACGTTTACGTGTGGGTTCTTTATTGTATCTATGGGCATACGTTGCTATGGTTGAAGAGATGTGTATATGTGTATTTATAATTAAACGAATTTACATAAATGTCGGTTAAGTACTGGCAATCTGTTGGTTTGTTGGTAACTCATTAAACGTAACAACTTGACCGACGATTTTTCCTGAAAAAATATTACTAACGTTATGAAGTTACTTCGATATTTCCTCCTTATTTAGAGTAAATGTACTTACATGCTTTAGTTATACTTGCTTATAAATCTTTCATCATTCAGTTTCACTGAAAGTGAAACTGCAATTACCATTGAGTAGTTAAATCGAGTAGTCTAGCCGGTAAATTTTAAAAGTAAAAGTACTACAAGTACGAGGCTTTTATTCTTAAATCGACAGTTGTAGTTCAATTACCAAAGACTAGTTTGATACGCGCCTTCATCCTTCTTATCCTGATCCAATCGTCCCATTTCCGCAACTTCAAAGTATCTGCGACGAGATCCTCGTATTTCAGAAGGCGCTCTAATATCTTATCATTCATAATGGCTTAAAGATTTATGAAACAAAATTTTGAAAGATCCATTTGATCATTGATCATTAAAATAAGATAAAAGAAGCAAATATGTTAATTTCTTGTTATCTTAATTAAAAATATTTTTGAAGAATCATTTAAAAGTGCAAAAATTAATGTGTCAGTCCTTTTTGTTATTTTTCTTATGTGAAAACGCCTGGTTTCAGTTATTCTTGTGCTATACGAATTTTCAAAATCAAAATGATAATAAAGTTTTTTGTGACCACCATTCAGAGTTGGATCTTAGATTATTGTAATTCAAAATGTTTCTGCTAAAAAACTTTAGCAAATTCTTTTATGATCAAGAATACAGTTACAATTAATAATTGAAATTTTTTATTTTAGAAAATCTTATTAAAGATAGTAATGCTTTTGCTATCAAAATCGTTAAGCTTTTCATATTTTAGAGAATGGTGCTGAATAGAAAGGTCAGGGAAAGTAAACATTTGATTGTTACTGTATTTCTAAGTTATATTAACACCAATTAGGTAAAATTATTTAGACTTAAATGCAAATAAATCGGTATTCATAAACTGAACGAATTTGGTAAATCTACTTTACCAGTGTGACGGTTGTTTTAAAAATATCGAGAGTAATTAATTTAATAGAATTACAATTTACACGAAAATAAGACCCCTATAGAATACTTAGAAGACGATTTTTAACTCTTGGCTACTTTGTGTGCATAATCTGACTTTAATAAAATCTATTTTAACACCATTTGAATAGATTTTTATGTTCGTTTTATAGTAAAGTCGTTAGAAAATTCAATAAAGATTCGAGTGAACAATGAGCCCTGTTAATGTTTATCTACTTATTTATGAGAAAGTGTAATGGCTGACTTCATTTCATATAAAACGTTTACGCACCGCTACTAATAGTTAATTAATTAATTAATAGTATTTAATTTGAAGTACAGAAATACATATTTTTTATAAATTGCGTTAAGTTGCAAATCGATTAAACATTAATTATTTTTACA